CGGACACATTTAAAAGGATTTCCGGTATGGAAAAAGCACAAAACCGAAACACATTTGAAGAGATTTCCGGTATGAAAAAACACAAAACCGGAACACATGAAAAGAGAATTCCGATATGCAAAAATAGAAGAACCATAACACTTTCTAATACACTTCCGGTCAAGATATGAACAAACCAGAAGACAACTAAAATGAGTTCCGGTACACATGTTGAAAACCAGAAGGCATATTCATTGAGTTCCAATATTTATAAAATCGAAACACTTATTTGATCTGTTCCGGTATGTTATTTGAGAACTGGAAGTCTTGTGAGAAGTGTTTCGATTTACAAAGTGAAATATTCTAGTTTGGAAGACTTTTTGTGAGAGTGAAGGGAAAATGAAAAATTATAAAGATATAATTATTTATATGAGGGTATTTTGATCCAAAAAATTTTAGTGTAGGAGTATGAAAATAATTGTAAGAATACGAGATAAAATTTTTAGAATTAAACTGTAATTCTCCTTATTAAATTCAACATCAATCACCCACTGAATTAATTAATTATTGATATAAATTTTAATAATTAACAATATCTACTTATGTACAATTTTCAATTATTTTTAGAATAATTTATAACTTTCATTTGAATCAGGACATGGACACCACAAATCATAAAATTATTGCTTATATTTTATTATTATTCTTACATTAATAATAAATAATTTTAAATAGGTCTATTTTTTAATTATATATTCTAATCATCACTATGTTAATTATTATTTTATTACTTCGTATTTATAAAAAGGTGAATACACAAATGCAAAGTAAGATTAATTTAAAATCATGTCATATTTATTTGTTTATAGTTTTTTATTTAGGATTAAATTCATATATATTTTAAATTTAATTTTGTACTCTTCGTCAATAATGTCGGGGGAGAATAGGTACTAACCAAAAAAAATTAAAAATACAATTCTATCTTTTTGATTCAGTCTATTAGATTTATAATTTTAATGGATAAGACCGAATTGACCAAACATATTTCGTTAAAAATAATAAGTAGTTTTAATTAGTTTTCTTAAGTAATTTTGAAGAAATATGAAATATTTTGACTTCCGCTTTAAGAAGTTTGATCCAAATAGTTATAACAACAAGATAAAGAAAGTAAGTATGGTTTGTATAATCTCTTTGATGCATATAAAACAATGGTTGCAACAAAATCAATTAATTCAACATCATTTTTTTTTACCGCAAAACTAAATAGACATTTCAAAGTCATCTTAATTTAGTAAACTTGAAACTCATCTCAATTTTTTATTAAAAAAAAAGGCGATAGTGAGAGAAGGGATTGTTTTTAGTTTGTCAAAGTATAAGGGAGGGGATTCTTAGAGGGAGAGATTGCACAATAATGAATGGATCTTAGAGAAGTATATATGGACAAACCAAGGGAGAGAGATAGAGAGATGCCTTATGTTATGATGGCTATATATGATTGGCATTGACCTACTTGTCCAAACTCTCTTTGGAAACTCTACTTTTTCTGTCCAACACACCACACCTTCCCAACCCCAATACCAATGTGTGTCCACATTATTTTACATTTTCCCACACTTTTAACTAATAATAGACACCACTTGTGGATATAATAGCTAGCCACTGCAATACAACTATACCCAAATCATGATTCACATTTTGGTTCTCATGTGACAACAACAAACACACACTAGTTTAATATAAATGAATAACGACAACAATATCACAAATTTGAAAGTACCACTTCACACTTGTTTGTTACCTCTCCAAGCTTAATTATTTTTAACTTCTGCATATGAAATAGCTTCTAATTTGTCTCCTAAATAACTATGTTTTGTCTGTTAACATAACTGATTATCTATCTTGATACAAATCATAGTCAAAGCATTTGAATTTATGTTAAATCCTATTTTCCGGCTTGGTCATTCTCAGGGATGCGTGGAAATAAATGGTGGGTGGCCCGATAGCGGAAACCATAGAAGATGGCCCACCGGATCTTAAACGAGACTCTAATACCATGTTAAGAAACGTGTTTGGGCCTAACTCAAACCTACAAAACTGATTGGTAGAGTAAGGATTACCCCCACTTATAAACACATGTTCATGCCATATATTGTCTGATGTGAGACTCTTAACACTTTCAACGCTATCCAGACTTTCAAACATATATATTATGTATTGAGTTTAATTCAAACTTCTTAAAACTATGTGAACTGGTCTAGTGTTGATAAGTGGATTTTATTTGTTGTTTTTAGGAGAATCTCAATCATATAGAACTAAGTGAATTAACTGCGATCCATATTATTGGGATGCCACAGTTTTTTTGTACTCATTGTAATTCTACTCATTAATTAAACAGTGTTTCAAATTGCAATATGTTTGTTTCGATAATTACATGGATCAAGGAAGCATGTCTGTCAGATTCATTTGAAAAATTGATGCCTTCAATTCAACTTATCTGAAACCATATATTATACATTGATCTATCTTATGTTTTATAGTGCTATTTTTTAGAATTTTAAATGGTCCTTCTAACTTATCTGCAATTTTGATATAATAAGATAAAATAGAAGTTTCATTTGTTTATTTGTTGGAAGTAGATGTATACTTGGATTCTACATTGAAGGTTAAAATATAAGATGAGTCCAAATAAAACCCTGCATTTTGTTTTTGTTGTTCTTAGGGAGACTAAAATTATAGGACTTCTGTCAAAATTTTCACTTAATTAACATAATAATTATAATAATTAATCAAATTTAAGATGTTGGAAATGAAAGGATACGTTGGAAATTTGAAGAAATTTTCGACCGAAGTTCTTAAGAAATAAATAAGCACAAATATGAACCGGTGTAAGAAGATGTAAATTTAAGAAAGTTTTTTAAAATTCAACTTTGGGTTGATCTCTTGGGGTGTGTCCAATGAGGTTTACATTTTTGTGAAAGGGTCAGAATGCACTATCAAAAACTATCATGTGCGTCTTTCATTGTTGACCCGCTCGGGTCGGTTTCAGGATATTCATTACTCTTTGGTATCCGAAATGGTAAAAATTAATTAATACCAAGGGTACTCAATTTTGAGAAAGGTGAAGACGCACTACAATAAATCATCACATGCACGCGTCGTTTGTCCGACTCATATTTCGCACTGAATTTTTGAATCAAATCAAAGTCTTTCTCCTCTCTCTGTCTCCACTTCATCTCTATATTTTTCATTTCTATTCTTTTTCGAGTGATTGTCTAGTTTCAAATACAAATGTTATTAACTAGAAATTACGACTAATATTCACAGGATACTACAACTAATATTTATACTATAATCAATTGGACTTTGTGTTATATAAAAATGCATTTCTAAATTGATTATCTATGGTACAATAATTATCGTACAGTTGAACTGAGTTGTTTTAATCTCGAGATCATATGAAAGTGTATTTTTAAAAATGTTAAAAAACATCTTAAAAATTATGACCTAATTAGCAACTTGACTGAGTAATTTCTTATGTAACAATTTTTTAAAAAATCGTAAACAAATGTTATAAGTCATTTTCCCTGCAAGTAATGCCATAAGTTATTATACATAATCTCCATTTTTAAAAAGTTCTTATAAATTATTTTATAAAAAGTTCTTATTAACCATGGTTAATGTTCTTTATCTTTTACCTATAGTCCTAAATTTAAGCTCCTCTCTAACATTTTTTTTATGTTTTCACAAGTGCAAGCATCAAAAAAGAAACTTTATTTACAAGTAGGGTTGTTTTGTATGAGGACAACAACAAAGAACTATCCACCTTACCACACTCCCATCACTTTCTTTTCTTATAACCAAAAAGGTGACTCCACATTACTATATTATATTTCTTGATTCTTTGACAAACGTTACTCTCTTTGATACTCAAGGACAATATAGGTATCTCCTTTAAAAAAAAGCCATTTTGACAAAGAGAACCCCACAAAACCTCTATTCCTTTCAAGTATCCAATGCCCTTTTCCTCTTAACTTTCATCACTTTTTAGGTAAATCCTTGCTTTTCTTTCTTACACTCCACCATTTTGTTACTTAGTCACTTGTTTTCTCATTATTGTTCTTTACATAACACAAAAACTTTACTCTAATAACACTATTGGCCTTAAAAGTAAAAAACCACAAAAAAAATGAAGTTTTTTTTACTTGAGACTTCTCTTACAAATATAGAAAGATTGCTTACAATGAATAAATAACTAGTCAATTATTGTTACATTAATATTTTTGTCCTTATTCTTTCTTGTCAAATAAAATGGCTTAGTTTCTAAGTATAAAATGGTAGATGCAAAACGAGACAAAAGGGTCACCAACTTCCCCACTTGCTTCCTAATGAGAGAAGAGAATGTTGAAAAATAAATGGTACATTTTTCTCCTTAGCAATTAAGGGTCCATCCACTATTTATTTTGTTTTTCTATAGACTTTACTTAGAGTGAGACTTGTGTATTTTATTTTATTTATATATATGTGTTTTGACATTTGCACTTGTTTCACAATTGTCAAAGTTATTATTCTATAAAGATTTAGTTTTTGTGTTAAAGCCTTAAAGGGATTCTCTCTAAGAGCTTCTTTTCATGTAAAATGCAAAAAGTTAATCCTTTACAAAGGTTGTAGAAAGAAGTAAGAACACTAAACTTGAGAGGAGAGTCTTGTAAGAGAAGGGTCATTTGATCAAAAAGAGTAACTAGTCTTTTCTTCACATTCTTCTTCATGTGATAGACATTAAGCATAAGCAGAAAATAATCACTTTGTGGATAGTTCCTGGAAGGAAGCTTTGCTTTTCTGAAAATGAAGAGGAACTTGTGAAGTATTTGAGACTGTTTAGTGATAGAGGCTTTTTTTTTGTCATTCATCTGAGTTCTCTGCTGTGAAGTTCCTAGGTAAGATGATGAATCTTTTGTCACCATGTTGTTCTGTGAATTGTGTGTGTTTTTTGTGAATAGCTATGGTTTTTGTGGTTTTCAGGTATGGAACTTGAAAAAGGTGGAGAAAATCCAGATAATCAAGTTGAGGCCTCAGACAAAATGAAGATGGTATAATCAATTACTCTATTTTTTTTTTCATTATGAAATGATCATGATTTCTTTTTATTTCCATATAATCTTAGAATTGAGGGTAGGCGTTTTGGTGTCTGACACATGTTAGTGTTAGACACAGCCACGATATAATTACTTCTACTTTCACAAATTATTATTGGTATCGACATGTCAGTGTCGTGTATATCATGTATATAGATAGTTGGTTTTCTTTTCCAAAGGTATATGATTGATGTCATTAGTCCTAAACATAATGTTGTGACATTCATGGTCCATTTTGGTATCATTCCCTATAGTCCCCACATAGAAAACAAGTCTCATTTTCCTTAAGTACTGGTTTGATTTTGTTCTAGGATATCGACTACGTCACCGAATATGCTAAAGCAAAGAATAAACCAACTCCTACAAGTGAAGTCCATGGTGCTATGAAACAAGAGGTACCATACCAGAACTGCTCCTCATAATTCTTATGATGCATGTTTTCCTGTAATCATGTTATATTCATTTCACTTTGGCCCATTGAATCATGTTCTTTTGTTTGTCTTTTTCTGGTTGGTGCATTGCATTCATCAATATCTAACGACTTTTGCATCCACTAAGTCTGACTTTTGGCCATGCTCTTGTGGCAGATTCTACAGCTAGAGAGAAGATTACAAGATCAGTTTGAGGTTAGATCCACATTAGAAAAAGCGCTTGGTTACAGATCTTCATTACTTGTCAATTCAAACGAAAAGATGGTGCCTAAGGTAGGACATGTTCTATGAACTTAGGAACTATACATTTACATTGTTTTAGGCTTTTGTTTTTGTCATGTTTTAATTTTGTTTGTATTTTTGTTATGCAGCCAGCAACAGAATTGATTAAAGAAATTGCGGTGTTAGAGTTGGAAGTTGTGTATTTAGAACAACATCTTCTCTCATTGTACCGAAAAGCTTTCGATCAAAAATTACCTCAACCAGCATTTGTTGAACCTTCTGTGCCTGAGGTCTTAACCAAAAATGAGAGTTCTACGCTTCAATATAATGGCCATGATGAGCTTGAGAATTTGCCAAAGGAACATAGTAGATATGAAATGGAGACTTTAGGGAAAGAAAAACATTTAGATTCTGGTGTTTATCGTTGTCATTCTTCGTTATCGCATTGTACAGCATTTACAAGAGCATCTCCTACAGAATTATCTTTAACCAAAGCTCTGCGCGCCTGTCACTCGCAACCATTGTCCATGGTGGAGGTAAATCTAGTCTCATGAAATTCTGTTAAGTCAAACTGTTTTCAATAAGTTATTATCCTTGATATTTTATAGATATAATTCGAAGAACGCCTCGTGGACACATAGTGTTAATACCAGTAGATAAACTTAAATAAGTCAATCCAAGACATTGATTTGTCTTGAGGCCTTGTTTGGATTTTGACTGTCACTTATTTCAATGCAGTATGTTGAAAGTTCTTCATCAAATATAATCAGTCTTGCCGAACATCTCGGTACGCGAATATCCGATCATATTCCAATGGAGCCTAACAAACTTTCTGAGGATATGGTCAAATGCATATCAGCTCTATATTGCAAGCTTGCAGACCCTCCTATGATACATCCAGGCCTTTCGTCTCCCATTTCATCGATGTCCTCAATGAGCAACTTCTCTATCGGCGATCAAGGTGATACGTGGAGTCCAAGGTTCAAGAACAATAACTCCTCTTTTGATGTAAGGCTAGACAATCCTTTCCATGTTGAAGGACTCAAGGAGTTTAGTGGACCATACAGCACCATGGTTGAAATACCATGGATTTATAAAGAGAATCAGAAATCGGGTGATACAAAAAAGTTGCTCCAAAATTACAAGTGAGTCTGTTAAATGTGAAATTAGATTTACTTAAAAATTTGCACATATAAACGTTCGTTCAAGCTGACGCTGAAATTCATTTTTTGTGTTTTATCAGGTCGCTTATTTCTCAATTAGAAGAAATAGATCCTGGAAATTTAGAACACGACGAGAAGCTAGCTTTCTGGATCAACATACACAATGCTTTAGTGATGCATGTAATTGAAAAAGTTTCTCTATAGTATCTTCTCATATGCATTTGTCTAATTTGATAACTTGGATTTATAATCTGTTATTTGGTTTCTAATAGGCATTTTTGGCTTATGGCATTCCACAAAATAGTATGAAAAGAGTCTTTCTTCTTCTAAAGGTAAATAAGCACTTTTAAGAAATTAAACTCTTCAAAGTCTTTAGTATGTGATATATCTTCTTGCTTTGTCTTTGCAGGCTGCATATAATGTTGGAGGTTATATAGTTAGCGCAGACACAATACAAAACACTATACTTCGGTGTCGAATGTCTCGCCCCGGACAGGTGAATCCTATGATCCAAACCAGTTACATATAAAAACAAAAAATCATTTTTATAACTAAAATCCTATACACTAGTGACTAACATGAGAACATGTTCGAACTTGTCTCATCTATGTAGTGGCTACGTTTGTTTTTTTCTTCAAAGACGAAATTCAAAACCGGAGACGGAAGACAAGCATATGCACTGACGCATCTCGAGCCTCTTTCACACTTTGCTCTTTGTTCCGGAAACCATTCTGATCCCGCGGTATTCTTCTAATGCATTTCTAGCATATTCATTTTTGGATTAAAAAGCATAAATCAGTTTTACACTGACATCTAATAAAATCGTCTGATGAACTATGATAGGTTCGCGTATATACACCAAAGAGAGTATTTCAAGATCTAGAAGTAGCTAGAGACGAGTACATTCGAGCTACATTAGGCGTACGCAAGGACCAAAAAATACTTCTACCAAAGCTTATCGAATCATTCGCCAAGGACTCAGATTTATGTCCTAGTGGTGTCATGGATATGATCCTAGAATCTCTACCGGAATCACTAAGGAAAAAAGTTAAGAAATGTCAACTTGCAAAATCCAAGAAGTGCATAGAATGGATTCCACATAACTTTAATTTTAGATATCTTGTATCTAAGGATGTTCTAAAATAGTACTTGATAGTTTTAACTTGTTAACGAGGAAATGATTTTACATTGTTTGCTCTATGTAATTTTTTTTGTACAAAAGTAGATTGAAGTTGTAAGATTGTGCTGTGAAGAAGGTAAATAATTTTCTGATATATCAGTTGACATTTGATAACAGGACTGTGTACACATGTAGTATGTTTTGTGGTTGTCTAACCTGTTGGAAGTTTATGCTAGCTTAAAGACAAAAATAATTTTTCTTTTGTCAGTTTTGATTCTTTCTGGATCATATAGTTTGGACATGATTTGTCTGAATTGGTGATTCTGAATGCACTGAAAAAATAATTAAATTAGATTTTTAATAATATAAAATTCATAGCATAAATTATAAATAGGAAAAAAAATAAAACATAGCAACAGTAGTAATAGATCATGGATGAAAATCATGCACATTCGAACTGACATAATTGTGTTAGCCAATATTAGCCTTAATATGATCACACTAGCAAAAGAGATAAGTCATAGCTGGTTGCCTCAATCTTCCCGCCTAGGGGGTTTTCGCAAGCCCAGTTTGATTTGGTTTTGAGATAATTTGATATCTAAACTTATTAAAAATATATGGATTATTTTGGATTGAATTTGTACATTTTTACGATAAAGCTCAAATCGAACCAAACTGAGAAATAACAGATTAATTTGAGTTTGATTGATCGGATACATTAGAAATAAATATAAAAAATTATTTTAAAAAAATCTCTAATTCTTTCATGTGTCCATATAGGTTGTGAATGTTACGAATGTCGTTTCATTTTTTTTCTTCTTGAAGTTGAATATCTTATACTAATTTTCATGATAAGGATGATATAAATTATACAAATTAGTTAGGGTTAGTTTGAGTAGACAGACTTGCAAGTAGAATTTTGAATATTCATTGTCCGGATTTTATTAGTTTAATTCGATTTTTACCCGAACTAAAAAAATGTCTAACGGAAACACCATGGTTTGATTTAAATTCCAATTTGACTTGAATTTTTTCGAACGAATGAACACCCCTATTCTCGCCCATCACATAATGAGGCATTATAAATGACTATATGAGTTTAATAGCCACATTAAAGGTCCTAATAAGGGGGAAAGCATGCGGTATCACACCTATAAATATGAAGCTAAACACAAACTCTAATCATCAATTTGTAACACTAAATATCTAAATTTATGATCATAAGCACGCTGCTAGCAGAGCTCATCTACCACTACCTTTACACAACAGTGTGTTGTTCATAACATATTGTTAGTAGGGGTGTACACGGATAACCATTTAATATGAATCAATTCATTTTTATGGTTATGGTTTATGTTGGTGATTTTAGTATCATCAATGTATTTTAGTAGTAATGTGATTTACTGTAGGCCGATGCAATTATACGTTAAGCTTGAAAACGAGTTAGGGTAGTGCGGAGTGCATGCTCGTCGAGCCAACGTACAATTGAATGCGAATAATTGAAAAGGAGTTTCAAGGGGCAGAGCCCCTGGCGGGGTGCGGGGCAGCGCCCCGCTGGGGTTCCAAGGGGCGAATCCCCTGGCGAGGTGCGGGGCAGCGCCCCGTGGGGTTCCAAGGGGCAGAGCCCCTGGCTGGGGTCCCGCTGAACGTTTGAACCCGTTCGAAATTAAATTTGAAAAGATGAACCTATTCAAAAATTTCGAACAGATGTCCCTTTTCGTTTTTTGTTATTTAATCTCCTATATAAGGAGTCATTTGGCCTCAGTTTTACACACTGAACAAAAATCATATTTCCCTCTACATTCTTAATCTGTTTTCTATTGGCAGAAGCAGATTGTTCTTCAAGAATTATCCCCACAAAGATTTCGTGAATCCAGGCAAATAATAGGGTCGAAATACTTTGTTCGGAAAGTGTACGAACACGATTTCTCGAAGATATCCAAGATTATCATACCAAATTTTTCTAACAGTTTATAAACCAAACCACTTGTTTTAAACCGGTTTAAAACCAGTTCTAGATGAATTTTGATTATAACCCAAATTATTTAGTTAAATTTAAATTTAATTTTTTTAAAATTATATCAATTTTTAAATTTAAATACTTAGATTTTAATATATATATTTTTTTGAAAATAAATATAAATTTTTTTTAAAAAAAAATCTAAAAATTAAAAATATTTAAAACAATTAAAAATAAAAAATTTCAGCAAATTATATAGACTTAAAATGATAACTAATATTTATAATACATATATTTGTATATTTCAAAACCTCTATTTATTGGTGGAGAAATCTATAATATTTATAATTATTTTTTCATAAAGCATTAATGAACTTCAAAATTTATAAATGAAAACTAGAGTCAAATTCAACAAGTTAAGTTTTGGTATATTTTCTTACACATGGCAAATCAAACTCGATGCACTAAGACTTATATAATTAATTACTGAAAGTTCATATAATTAACTGATAAAAGTGCATATAATTTGTGAAGTATTAGTACACCATTTTAGATAGTTAGAGAATTTGTAAACAATTTTTTTTTTCATTTTGAAATACAAAATTTTGAATTTTTTGGTTTAAAATATAAAATTAGTTTATAACGTGTATATGATAAAACATGAAAAGAGACAAAAACATATTAATTTAACAAATAATGAAATTTGGATAACCAATAACTAAACCATATGGAAACCGGTTTATATTTGGATAACAAAATGGATGATCAAATTTATATTTTAACATTTGGTTTGAATTTTTAAAAGTGGAACAATTTGGATACAAATTTGATTAACAATAATCGGTTTTTTTGCACACCCCTAATTGCTAGCAAGGTCTATTTCAACCTACATAGTGCCTAACTCGAACATAGAATACTTTGTTCTCACATCGTCATCATTTTCAAGTTTTAGATTATGGTGCTGAACATGTCCATTTTGATCAATTGATGGACATCAATTGTTAGGATGCAGAATAATAGGCTCATTTGCAGCAAAAGAAAACCCAAATGGTTGGAGGGTTGCATCCAATATTAAGGAGGTGTATTAGTCTTTTATTTTAATTATTGTATGTTATTTCCAGTTCTGGCCCAGGCCTTTTTACTAGAGGAAAAACCCTATTATTTATAGTGTAACTCTTCGCTGAAGAAGGTTATGAAAAAAATGTTCAGGTTATTTTATGTTTGTCTTCCTACCCTAACTTAGAGTTGATTGTTTATCCTTAGTGAAGATTTATCATCAATAATCAATGCGAACCATACTTTAGTATCACCAAATTTGAGAATATCATTTAATTTTCTCTTCAACTTAAAAAAATGATATTGTCATTGACCCATCATTACAAGTAAACTACAACTATGATTTTATATCCCTTTAGTTAGCAAGGGTGAAAGTCAAATGGAAGAGGTGTAATTGTAGATTGAGAGGTAATAAAATAGAAATTCTTTGGATTATATTTTTGAAATTTGGCAGACCTTTGAAAATATGTAAGAAAATTTTAAAGAGATAAGGGTAAAAATTCTTTGAAGTGCATTTTTGAAATTTGACATACCTTTTGAGGTATCTAACAGGAATATGAGAAACATTTTTACACATATTGGGCTTGTGTTATTCATTTATACATAGTTGAAGAAATTGTGAAAAACTAGGGTAGAAAATAGGATTTGGTATTGGGAACTTGGGAGATTATGGAGAAGACAACGATTTCAATGTGGGGAAATCTTAAATCATTTTATAACAAAACATTTACTCATTTTGAGTGTTAGAGATCAAATCCATAATGGAGTACTTGAAATTTTTTCACAAAATCATTGTTGATTTGGAGAAGATTGATGATTGGGACAAAACTTTACTTTTTGAAGGTTCATTACTTCGATTCTTTGAGCATTTCATGGATCCCTTTGTTTATGGTACAAAAGCTTCTATTACTTTAGCTGAAGTCTAGACGACTATGAGATCTAAAAAAAATTAAAGATAAAATACTTAAAGAGCGATAGTGGTCAAGACTTGAGTGTCTAAAGAGGAGAAAATGAGATTATATAGAAGTTTAACTCCATGAGGTTTGATAAATAAGGTTAAAATCCTTTATTTTCAGAAAACCAAGACCTTAAGAAAGATTGTCCCAAGAGGGAATGCACTGAAGATTTTATGTTGACGCACTAGTGGTATTGAGTTTGAAAACAAAAAAAAGAGTAGGCCACAGACTCAAGATGCTTTTATCAAATGTGCCAAAAAAAAGAGAGAATACTTTGAGACTTTGAAACTGAAAGATGGTGGAGTCATTCAACCTGGTAATAATTAAACTTTCAAGGTTCATGGATTGAGATTATGAGTTCCTTCTACGTAATGTGAGATATGTTCCCAAGCTTAGAGGATTTTTTTTCCTTTAGCATGTTTGATGGTCTAGGTTGTTGCGCTAGAGTTTAACATGGGGTGTTGAAAATTTTCAAGATGAATTGATCATGGATAAAAGGTCATAAAATATGTGATTCATATGAAGGTGTGAAAAACACAAGAATAGGGTTGAATTGTGTTGACTTTTTTTTCTTCTTTTTAACCTCTTAAGTTAGATTCTAAGCACAAGATTGTAGAATCTGATTCAGTCAGAATTAGGCAACAAATATAATATGAAAAAAAAGAATATCATACATAATTATTCTGGTTCCTCTCACAAATTGAGAGTAATCCAGTTCCCTTGTACTTACAAGAGATTTTACTATAATCACACAAGATTACAATTTAGCTCAAGCCTACAAGTAAGAGACTTCATTTGCTCAAACACACAAGTAAGAGACTTCTTTGCTCAAGCATAGAGGTAAGAGACTTCCAATGCCCATACACTAAAGTAAGAGATTTCTATGCTCAAGCATACAAGCAAGATACTTTTTTTTCTCGAACACTTAGTAATAGACTTCTATGTTCAATCACACAAGCAAGAGGTTTCTTACAATCTACTACCTCTGTCCCTAATTATAAGACCCTCTTGAGTTTTTTTCTTGTCTATTTTTATAAGACCCTCTTCAACTTTC